CTTACTTTCGACAATGTTAAGTCAAACCTATTGTCCAAAGAAAAGTTTGACTTTGAAATTAAGTTTGAGGACAAAGGTGAAGGCTTGACTGTAAGGGGCCGTTCACTTGAATCAGAGAGTAGCAATAAAAATTATAGTTCCAAGTCCAAAGGACGTAAGTCCAACAAATCCTGTAAGTATTGCAAGAAGCAGGGTCACGATGTGACTGAATGCTTCAAGTTGAAAAACAAGCAAGAGAGAGAAAAGAAGTCTGTTGAAGCTAGTGTTGTTGAAAGTGATTCAGAAGGCGATGTTATGTTATCTGTTAGCTCCGGTTGCAAACGGAGCGAAACCGAGTGGATTCTGGACTCTGGTTGTACATTCCAAATGTGTCCTCACAAAGACTGGTTCGTCTCTCTGGAACCGGTTGATGGTGAAGTTGTCTTGCTGGGTAATGATACCCAATGCAAGGTTAATGGAATTGGAAGTGCTCAGATTAAAACTCATGATAATGTTATCAGGACTCTTACCAATGTTCAGTATATTCCTGATTTGAAACGCAATCTGATATCATTGGGCACCTTGGAATCTCTGGGGTGCAAGTACACAGCTGAAGGTGGAGTTCTAAAGGTCATCAAAGGCTCTCTTGTTCTTCTGAAAGCTTCTCGTTCCGGAAGCTTGTATGTCTTGCATGGCAGTACTGTGACAGGTTCAGTAGCGGTATCCTCATCGATGTCTGATGCGGATCTCACTCAATTATGGCATATGCGTATGGGGCATATGAGTGAGAAAGGCATGCATCTCCTGAGCAAGAAAGACCTCCTTGGTGGTTCAGGTACGGGCAAATTACAGTTTTGTGAGCATTGTGTTTTTGGGAAACAAAAGAGGGTTAGTTTCTCTACTGCTACACACCGTACCAAAGATGTATTGGAATATATACATTCTGATTTATGGGGACCAACTAAATTCCAGTCTATGGGAGGTTGTAGATATTTTATGTCTATTATTTATGACTTTTCTCGTAAAGTCTGGGTCTATTTCCTGAAACATAAAAATCAGGCATTTTCTATTTTCAAGACGTAGAAAATACTTGTTGAGACTCAGACAGGTAAAAAAGTCAAGAAGCTCAGGACAGACAATGGCTTGGAGTTCTGTGAGTCAGATTTCAAGGACTTCTATGCGGCAAATGGAATCGCCAGGCACAAGACCTTGCCTGGTAAACCCCAATAGAATGGTGTTGCCGAACGTTTGAACAGGACTCTATTGGAAAGAGCTCGTTGTATGCTCTCTAATGCTGGGTTATGGAAACGGCGTGATTTTTGGGCCGAGGCCGTTTCTACTACTTGCTATTTGGTAAATAGATCTCCACATTCATCCCTTGATTTCAAAATTCCAGAGGAAGTTTGGTTAGGTAATCCTGTTGATTACTCAATCTTAAGAGTTTTTGGATGTCCTGCTTATGCTCATTCCAGTATGGGTAAATTAAACCCGAGAGCTGTCAAATGCATTTTCCTTGGTTATGCTTCTGAGTCAAAAGGGTATCGTCTATGGTCTCCTGATTCTTGGAAAATCATTTTGAGTCGAGATATCACTTTTGATAAAAATGCACTACTTTCTTCTGGAAAAGTTCCCAGTACAGATGAGACACAAAGTACTGGTGAGAAGGTGGAGTTTGAGTTCAGGCCTATTGATAGTATTACTACCACTTCTGGTAATACTAAAGATGACGCATCTACTAGCACCGCACCTCTCGTCGAGCCACAACGAGAGTATTCCATTGCTATGGATCGTCTTAGGAGGACAATTAAAAAACCTGCTAGGTATGCTAGTGACGATGAAACCAATATGGTTGCTTATGTTCTTTCAGTCGCATAGGAGGTTGATGGTGATCCATCTTACTATTCTGAAGCTCTTCCTATTGCTAAGTTCAAGCAGTGCTTGAGTTTAGTCGACTGTTCCAGTTGTTAAATTTACAATGAATTTGATCCAAGGTAGAGATCGTTAGTTATGTGGTTCAAATTCATACTACTCACCATGTTGTCCACGTATTGCGCCATTGCTCCGTATTTCTCCACTCACCATGCAGTCCACGTACCCACGTAGCAACGGGAGCACTCCCACATTCATGCGCAATTTTCTCCCTTTCCTTTAGTATAAATAGTTCTCTTAGCTTTGTAATTCAATGCATCATTATCCATTCATCCTCTTTAATTTATTTGTTTTGTTCCTTTCTCACGTAAGACATAGGAATATATATATATATATATATATATATATATATATATATATATATATATATATATACTAGTATTTTTTATGCGCGATGCGCAAAAAATCGGTACCAAATATTAATACATTATATTAAAATTTTAAATTTATTTAAATTTTAGATATTTAAGTTATTCTAAATAATAATAATAATAATAATAATAATAATAATAATGTAAATTATTTTTATAAATTTGATATTTATATTTTATGTAATAATTAACATATAACTCAAATATTTAATGTGTATCTATTATTATTAATGAAGAAGATAAGAAAATATATGGTGGATGCATGTGCATGGTAACAATAGTGGAAAAGATAACGGAAGTTATAACGGTAGGGGTATGTTTGTCCAAAATATTTTAATGTACAACATTTATAGCATAATGTACAAAAAAACTTAACGGAAAAAAGGGACATAAATTAGGGGTATAACTTTCATTCACACTTATTATGTTTATATATATATATATATATATATATATATATATATATATATATATATATATATATATATATATATATATATTGTATTATATTATATTTCCCAATTCATAAATTTCCTTTTGTCATTTTATATTTTTCCCTTATTATTTAACTTCTATAATTGTCATTTATATAATTTTCTTCATTTATATAATTTTCTGTTATTTAACTTCTATAATTCTCATTTTTCGATTCTTCGCTTCCGCATTATTCCGCTATATTCCTAACACATATAATTAAGGATAAATTAGGAAATCTCAAAGAAAAATAAAAATATGAACAATCTGAACTATTCATTTGATTTAATAATTTGACAGTCATTTTTTCTACCCAAAGTTTATAATTAAATAAATATTTGAAAGTATAACAATGCAAAATTATATATGAGAAGTTCAACATAAGTAATTTAATGTCTAATTTGTTTATTTAAATTTGTTGAGAGGGGGCGAAGAAGCAGCAACGGATCCATCAATTTTTTGAGTGAAGGCGAAACATTAAAACAAAAGAGCAAATTTTAAAAAATAAATAAACTACCCAAAAAAATATAGGTATAAATATTATTGAATATGTGCGAAAAATAAAACACATAGAAATTTTATTAAAAATATTCATAACAAAGTATGAAACATAATTAATTTGATAAAATAATTTGAATAGAGAACACATTATAAATCACACATCTCATTTTTAATATAAAAGAATGTTATGTGTGTGTGTGTGTGTATTTTATTAAATATTAAAAAAAAAACTATTAACAATGTGATTTTGTTGAAGCCAAGAGAAATTATAAAATTTTGATAATGCCAACAAAGAATTCGAATTCTAAACCTTCACCAAACACACTCACTTCGATCTTGTTAACATTTATCTATTTCTTTATACTAAGACCTCCATTGAGGCTCGAACTCATAACCTTCCCAATGGAAGTCCAACCCGGGTACCATTAGACCACATAGTCTTGGTTTAGACTATATATATACATATATACATACAACTATTATATATGGGGTAGGGTGGGGTGAGGGGGGGGGGGGGCAACTGACCCCCTACCCCCCTTTGGCTCCGTCCATGTTCATAGTATATGAATACAATGTAATATAGGAGATTCATTATAATTATTACTAAACTTTTTTTTTTTTAAATAGTAACTAAGTATTTTTGTTGCAAAGGATTCGAATATATTTAATGAATGCGAATATATACAAGATCAATGAATGACTCAACAGTACCAGTCCTTTAGGTGTTTTGCTTAGTGTTGATTTAGTTCAACCATCGTTGTTGAATAAATTATTATGGATAAAGAAGTTCGTAATTTAAGGAATTTAGATGTAGTAAAAATTTAAAAATTTTAATTATAATGTAACCCAAAGATATTGGACGATTGGTAAATATGATGTAACCCAAAGATCAAAATGTTAAAGAAAGTGTTTTGGTTATTCAACAGTTTGGAGCAATAATTTGTTCCAAACCACTAAAAATACAAACATTACAATTTACAATATTTTCACTTAGTGTTTTTGAGAATAATTTCCCCAAAACACATCTATATTTTTTAAAAAATTATTATTAAAACAATTATTATTATTATTATTATTATTATTATTATTATTATTATTATTATTATTATTATTATTATATGTATACCCTTAAGTCATTTTAAATGTTAATTTAAACAACTAATTTTTTCAAATATCTTTTTACCAACCGTTGATATAACTCGCTGGTCAAATCCGCTAACTGCGGATTGTCAAACAAGGACATTGCGAGGTAGTTTCTCACTTCAATTTGTTGTGTGATTTGAATACTCTCTTTGTCAACAAATCCCTCAAGTAGTTAATATGATTGGCTTTATTATTTTAAATTTTTTCATGGTATTAATAAAATACTTGGTAATAAATATATAGCATTATTTTGTATTATAACTGAAAATGCCCGTGTATCTTGAAATCAACTTGACACTAAGGATTCTACTTGATTTTATGTTACGAGACAATTTCGTTGTTTAATTAAATCAATGGAATAAGGTTCAAATTGGCCACTGAACGTAACCTGAAAATGCAATTAGGCCACTGAACGAAAAAAAAGTGCAATTAGACCATTGAACACTCAAAAAATGTGCAATTAGGCCACTGAACTCTCCAAACGTATGCAATTTTACCGGATAGCAGGTTACCATCAATTTTAGCAGGTTACCTGCTTACGTGGCAGCTTAGTTGGCATTTTTAATAATTTTTAATAATTAATTTTAATAATTAATTTTATTAAAAAATTGGAAAAAATTAAATAAAAAATAAAATAAAGTTGTTTTTATTTTTTTTAAAAAAAATTAATAAAAATTTATTATTAAAATTTATTAAAAATGCCAACTCAGCTGCCACGTAAGCAGATAACCTGCTAAAATTGATGGTAACCTGCTATCAGGTGAAATTGCACATTTTTTGAGTGTTCAGTGGCCTAATTGCATTTTTTTTCGTTCAGTGGCCTAATTGCATTTTCAGGTTACGTTCAGTGGCCAATTTGAACCTTATTCCTAAATCAATTTAATCAAAGAATAAATAACGAAATTGAAAGCATAAATAAAGTAAAGACACAGTATAATTGTTACGCAGTTTAGAGCACTTCTCCTACGTCTGCGGGGCAACCCACGTCTGCCCAATCCACTATAGATGTTCACCACGAAGTATTACAAGAGGTAACTGCAAATGGCTCACAGCCTTTACCACTACAACTCTTCCTAACACCTATTCAGGACTGAACCGTGCATGCCATAACCATCTTTGGTGTAATGCTTCATCTGTCATAGGTACTGACTTGAAGTCCAGAATTAATCATAAATATAACTCAATAAATATTAAAGGAGTGATATAGGAAGCTTGCGTATGTGATTAGAATTTCAGAATTGGCAACTTCCTCTTTCGTTTTCCCTTCCTTATATACTGTACGAAATTCCATTTCTCCAATCCTTGATTGTAGCTTTCACATGTGGCTTGAATTCTTCTCAACCACATATTCTTTAATTTGAGATCTTTAGACTTGTGCTTGGTTCAACTCATTAAAGAGAAATCTCCACCACACATTTTAGCTTGGTCCAATAATACTAATTACAACTCATACTAATTAACATTACATACTAATAAAATAAACTAATAAATTAGCCAATCTAACGTGTACTAATTTGTACACTTACAATCTCCCCCTTTGGCAATTTATTTGGTAAAACAATAGTATCATTATACTTTGGGAAAAATAACGAATATTTTATTAACATCCCATAGTATACGTACTGAACATATAAAGAAAGCAAATGTGCAATTAAATTCTTTTAGGACCAGACCAAAGCTTATTTGTGTGTGGGATTTTATTTTGGACCTTAGTTGATGTTGACTCACATACTTCATCCAATTAACAAATAGTGAATCATGCACGAAATAGTGTTGTATCAAAACATACCATATATGTCACGTTTTCCATACTGTAATTTGAATTACTCCCCCTAATTTAGAGGTTTCTTTTCTTCATATGCATTCCAATTAAAATCGATTCATACCATGCAGTCAACATACCAAATATACCAAGACATTCATACTCAAGTCATACCAAAAGTTATTAATAGCATCCGAACCAAAGATTAACATCCATATCAAACTGTACCAAAAAACTTACCAAATACTCCCATACTCTCCCTTTCTCCAATACTCTCCCTTTTTGCCAAATAAATGACAAACAAAATATGGTGAACATCATATTAGTGGATTGGATTAACTTGCAGACGGGGTGCCCGACTCAGAGTCACCGCTATCAGAAACAAAACCAGTGCCAGTGCCAGTATTAAACTGAATTCGAGAATAGATGGCTTCTATTCTGGCTATTTCTTCCAACTGAGCATCTCTTAAATTTTCTAAGCCATCGATAGTAATTTGTTGAGAAGCAACCGATGTTCGAAGCTGAGCGATCGATGCTTGAAGAGTGAGGACTATTTGACGTCGATCCATGAGCATCTGTGGCTCCTTGAACACTGCCTTAGGACGTGGATTTGGAGCTGAAACAGTGTCAGCAAATGATGCAGGGGCAGACACAAGGGGCGTGGCAGTTGGTGCGCCGGGAGTGATCACGAGTGTAGCTCGATCATCATAGTGTTCCTTATGGGTTAAATGATCATCATATTGATAGACCGAGTCATGAGCAGTTACCACCTCATCTTTGTCGGGCTTGAACTCATGTTCCTGTAGAATCCCAAAAATTGGACTGGGAAACGGAAGATGTACCTTAGCTTCCCTTCTTTTAAACTGGGAAACGGAATCTCCAAGGTTGAAATGAATGCGGTTCCTGATCTTGTAAAGGAGGGCAGCAAGTTGGTCAGACACAAGGTGATGTCGAACAGCCGGTATCTAATTTGTTGAGGCAAACCGTAAAAGAACTGAGTAGACTGTGGTGAGCTTTAGGCTTTTGAGCCCGGTTCTAGGCCAAGTGACTTCTTTGTTGTGAGTTAAAGCAGCGACTAGGTGATTAGGACTCGGGTCAGGAGCAGCCGGGTGATTTGGGGTGCCCAAATAGGAATTGATCACGGCTAGACTTAAGGGATACCATTTATCCCGGATGAAAACTTGTTGAAACCGGGGTGACCCCTCCGAAAAAGTATCCAAAGACAAATTCGTGTAAAACTCGGCAGTGAGCCATGTGGAATATGGTCCAACATGAACAAGTGAGGCAAGCAGGCATTGATCTCGCAAGATAAGTACAATATTGCATTTTTCTATCAAGTCTTCCACATTGATGGACTTCTTCAGAATAAATTCCCTAGTAGCATGAACTCTCCAGTCAGACATCAAAGCTGGAGACAGTAAAATCGGATGGTATGTCTTCTTGGATTTTTTCGTCTTTGAGCCAGAAAGGACAGCAGCAGTCGCTTGTGCAGGGGCTGGACTTGGTACAGGGTCTGAAACTTATCTGGACCTTGTCATCTTAGGTGGCAATGTGGACCCTCTTTTTTGTTGCTTTGAATCAGACAAACAGGTAACATCATCCAATGCTTCAATTTTTCTTTTCTCGGCTGTACCTGAAAAAAACAATTTTTTCTTTCCCTTTTCGGGAAGCTATGCCCACGGGCACAGAGATGATAGGAACAGAGTCATGTGAGGTTGACACAGGGATGAGAACCTCTACTAATTTTGATGATGAGACTGGAATGGTTATGGGAAAAGAGAATGCAGCACAAGTCATGTGAGACACAAATTGGTTAATATTTCGAATGGAGAAGGGTGTGGACATAGCATGCACAAAATCAGAAAATGGCACAAGATTTTCAGGCAATTTATGTGAAGAAGGATCATATGGATCTCCATGTATAGGAAAGGAAGGGGCACACATATCACTAGAGAGAATGGTAAACACAAACTGTTCTGGCAAAGAAATATTGAAATCTAATTTTATAGAGGCCGAAACATTGACATCTAAAGGTGAGGATACTACCATATTTTCCGGGGATGGAGGCGGTTTGGGTAAATCCGCCGGAAGAGTCCACGACTCGGCTGAGATGAATCGGGTGAGAGCTTGGATTTGTCTTGTTTCTTTGTCTGAAAGGCCTTCAAGGAAACTTTCATGTAATCTAACCGTGGCAAGCACTCGATCTGTATCATCATATGTGAGGGGTGAATCGGCGTCGATAATCTGTCGAAGGAGATCTAATCTTTCCGATTTCGTGGTGAAGATTGCAAAAGGATTGTCTCCTTCCATTGTTGAAGTGTTTTAGAAGGAAGCTCTAAGGATGAAGATGAAAGTGACCGTTTTGGTGGGTATGCGAGACAAAGAAACAACGAATTATTTTGGTGATGGATGGCGGTGAAGATGTGGTTCTCAAAAGGCGTGAAAGTAGGGTAAGGGATGACTAGGTTGTAAGGCTAGAAAGTAGAGTTATAATAGGAGAGGATTGTGGATGATAGAGTTTGTATCTAAGTTTAAGATCTAATTTTGAGGATAAAAATAAATGTGGAAGGGTATATGAGCCGTATAAGGTAACAAGAGGGTGTGAGACGTTAAATTTGGGATAGAGGTTTGGAAAAGGTTTTAACTGGTATTAAATTTGGGGAAAAGAAAACATTATGGGTTAAAATAGTTGAATGAGCCCTTCTGCAACAAAGTTAAACAAACAGCCATGTTAACGAAAAAAATTAATTAGTAATTATTTGTAATACCTGGTTTGGTATATTAAGCCGTGGGATTGCAAACTCCAAGTGCAGCTCTAAGTAGTTCAAATCTCGATTTGTCTAACGGCTTGGTGAATAAGTCTGCAAGATTTTTATCTGTTGGAATATATTCCAAAATAATTTCTTTCTCTTCGACTAGTTCACGAATAAAGTGGTGACGAATGTCTATGTGTTTCTTCCTGGAGTGTTGGACTGGATTTTTAGAGATGTTGATTGCGCTGGTGTTGTCACAGAACAATGTCATACTATGTTGTTCTATACCATAGTCTATTAACATCTGGCGCATCCAGAGTAATTGTGTACAACAACTACCCGCCGCTATATACTCAACTTCTGTTGTGCTGAGTGAAATCGAGTTCTGCTTTTGGCAGACCAACTACGTTTAGCGTGCCTATACCAGTGACTTGTCCTTTTATACCGTCACCAAAGGTAACTTCACCTTTGCTTGTATTTACGTTACTCAGAAATTTGGCATTTCTTATCATGTGACAGGAACACCCGCTATTGAAGTACCATTTTTCTTCTCGACATGTACTTTTGGAGTGAAAAGAGACAAATGAGATATAATCAGTCTTTTTAACCCAGATTTGTCTTGTAAAGGGTTGGATGTTCTTGTGTTTGAACTTCTCGATCCTTTGATCCTTGTAAAAGTAGTAGCATTCAGGTCTGGTATGACCCCGTAACCTGCAATAATGACATACCGGGTTATAGGATTTATAATATGGCTTGAGTGATCTTACTGTACCAACGCTATGTGTCGTTGTGCTGGATTCTGGAATATCTCCTCGACCAGGGCCTGACGCTTTGACAAACACCGTTTTATCCTTTGAGCTGTTTCCTGTGAAACCTAGACCAAATTTTGCAGAAGTTTTTCTTCCAGACTCAAGGATCTCGTCAAGTGTAGACGTGGTATCCATCATTTGAATTTGGCGTTTGTAGGTGTTCAGCTCCTGCTTCAGAGTCTATACCTCTTGATTAAGTTTTTCTTCTCGGGCCAATGCCTCTTTAAGAAGCAGATCCCTATCGGCTATTTGAGTTTGATACTTTCTTTGAATTTGTTACAATCCCTATTTCACTAGTTAATCTACGATT